TTCCCCCCTCAGTGCTGACAATTGGGATAACTCAGTCCCTAATGATGACAAAGCTGCCAGCACAGATGGTGTCGGCTGTATCAGGCTTGCAACATATACAACGGATTGCATCATCAAAGAAATCTGACCATAAACCTTTCTGCTACATCTGTATCATGATTTACATGTTTCGTCACAACCTCCATAGGAGATTTAAGGTGGGTTTTCTTCAGTTAAAAAAAAACACGCAGATTCAGACAAACTTTGTGTTGGGACAAGGATATTGTCAACATACCCTTCTTGAAGCAGTTCTTTATACTTCTCCTCCCATGTGGCTACACACCTGTAGCTAATTCCACCTGGGTATTCTCCTGTTCAGCACATTGTCACAAGCCTGATCACAGTGCTGTCTGAGCAGCCTGCTCCTCATGGAGAGCTCGTCGCCCCCTTGTGGTTTCTTACTGGAATTTCATGCGGCCAGCCTGCCACACCACCTAACACTCTAGAAATGGACAGAATGAATAGCCTACACTTTTTTGTAGCCTTTATCATCTTCTTATGCCTTTATATGCACTTAATTCAATTTTCACGATTCCATGTGTCAAACAAAAGCATATTTTAAGTATCTTTTCATTCAGTATTGATAGTAGTGCTATCGAAGAGCAGCCTGGGTACAATACCTGGATTCTTTCCTGCTTGGCTGAGCAGTTTAGAGGTGGGGACAGGTCCCTTACCTGAACACCAACTGGACCAACAATAATAATATTTTGCGTTCAGACCACCGGATGAAGACTTTCATTCTTCCTGCCTGGAAACTTAACTAACAAAAAATGGAAACGTTTGACCACAAAGACTGGTAAAGGGATGTGTGAAACGAAACTATCTGCAATTTGATGTGTACTGACTATTTTAATAGCAAATCCTTTTAGAGCGTCATGATACATTATCAAACATGAACTCAATTATTTTTAATTAATTAAATCCCATTTGAAAAACGATTAAACCAAAGGCTACTGACAAGCAACTTCCAATATCTACAGAGGATCATCTCTAATGTACAAGGAGCCCTTTTCAGAAACTCTTCCAGCAAGTGACACCTCTGATTTGTAATGATAGGTATATCCTGGCAGTATATCTTTGTAATACAGGCTATACTGACAGATAGCTCAAATGAATTCCTGTCGTGTCAAGTTCCAACCCCAAAGAAGGAAGACCATGTGTCTGCAAAGATGCTGAGGCAGAATTTACAGCTGATATCCTGTCTGTTTGAAAGACATTCAGTCATTGTCTTATAAGTGAACAGACTGCTGAGAAAAGAACTAGATTGATGACACAAGACAGTATGTGCTATAAGCTCTGAAGACAAGAGTTTGTAACATACAGTAACGGAATGTTCTTCAGAAACAGGGAATGTAGTGTGCATCTATGATACTATTTTGCATTAAATTACTCTGGATGTCATAGAACAGCAGAATATTACCCATTCAGATGCTGAAATGACATCATTACAAAAATGTTTTTATACAAAAATGTCTTGAACAACATACAGGAACTTTTGCCCATGCTATTAACATAACTTGCCAGCAGCTGTATAGCAGCTACATGTGTAGCGGTTCTCTTACCCTGGAATGCACCACTGGCAGTCCACTGGAGCTCAGCAGGTGTGAGCCTAGTCAGTACCAGGATGGGAGACTCCTGGGAAAGCTAAGGCTGCTGCTGGAAGAGGTGTTAGCAGGACCAGCAGGGAGCTTCTCACCCTGCGTCTGTGTGTGTCCTAAAGCCCCAGTATAGCGAATGGGACACTACACTGTAAAAAGGCGCCATCCTTCTCTGTGGTCATTCCCAGGGAATTTCTCAAAAGAGTAGGGGTGTTAACCTGGTGTCCTGGCCATATTTCCCATTGGCCTCTACCAATCATGGCCTCCTTATAATCCCCATCTCTGAACTGGCTTCATCACTCTATTCTCCTCCCCACTGAGAGCTGGTGTGTGGGGAGCATTCTGGTGCATCATTCAGGTGGGGCTGCACGCTGGTGGTGGTGGAGGGGAGTCCCCATTACCTGTAAAGAGCTTTAAAGTGGAGTGTTCAGAAAAGTTCTATTTAAGTGTAAGAATATTATTACATATTACTGAACATCAGGTCTGCCTTGATGTGTCCATTGTGTTTTTACAATAACCGCCCCCTGCTGGCTGTTTGATAATACTACAGATAATTTAGCCAAGCCAAACACTCAGTTTCCTTTCAACTAGATTGCTAACAGGAGTTCAGAATTAATAAGAATTTCTATTAATTTAATTAATAAGAATTTTAACTTTTAATTTTAATTTTTGGTTTTAAATTTCATTCTAGCATTCAGAAGCTCAAAAACCAAAATAATTTGACTTGATTTCCTTAAATGTACATGTGTTTTTGTGAATACTTGGATTGTGTAATGATTGGACTGTCTTTAATGTTTTTAAAACTCCTGAATAATACTTCAAATGTTACTGACCAACCTCTGAAGAAACAGCAGGCAAATAACATTTTTACTAGTGTTGCCATGGTGAAAAGAACTTATCTGTAATGTATGCAAGCATAGCAGTACCAGCCAAAATGCGTTCTGAGTCAACAAAATCTTGTTTTCTGTAGCCTTTTTTAAATTATGTGGTGATCACAGTGTTGAGACAAAAGGTCTTTAAAGCTTTTTAAGGCTTTGGATTGGGTTAAATCTGCTACTGTATTTTCTTTTTATAAGTGCCCATTACTAAAAGTGCATTTTGTTTCTAATTCAGAATACAAATACATACAATGTATTGACAGCCTATCTTCTAAACTCTTAAACTTTACAAAGCAAAACACACCATGCAATGTATTATACAAGAAGGTCTCTTGACTTTGTGAACCTTTGTGAAATTAATCTACCCAGTCAAACTTTAATTAAATCTGGCTAGTGATGAAGTATAGTAAACCAACAGAAATCAGTGTGACCTTTCCACTGGGGAGTCACTTTGAATCAAAATGCTAATTTAGCAACTGTCCATTCAAGCTAAGTCTCTGTCCAGAACGAATCACAGAAC